ATGTACACTGGAGCTTGAGAACTGTGCTAATTGAAGGTTCAAGCAATCACCCCCAAAACTCACTGATCAATCTTAGCTCTCCTAAAAGACAGAGAACCAACTGTGATAGTCCTCCTCAGTAGATGTACCTATGACATATTCTTGGCCACCCTCCAAAAAAGTTAAATTTGAATCTGTTGTTTTCTTTTTACTTGAAATGCAATTTATAGGAAATATGGGAGATAGAAGAGTACGTTAAGCAGTATCATGAGGAAGCAAAGAATATTCAGAATCCAGTTTCTTTAACATGTTAGTGATATGGGAAAACGGGAAGGAGAAGGACTATTCCAGAATAAAAGAACCCTGTAAACAAAATAAGCAAGTATAAAAAGTGTATCTTGTTTGTATCCTGATTGAAATAAGCTGGCTGGGGATATTTGAATTCAGACTGTGTTATTAAATAGATGATATTAAGGAATTGTTAACTTTGTTATATTTGATAATGATATTGTGGTTATGTAAGAAAATGTAGTTTTTAGAGCTATATACAAAAGCATTAGGGTAAAACAAAATGATTCCAAGATTTTCTTTAAGTTATTATCCTTAAAAACAAAAAAGTAGGGCCTCCCTGGTGGTATAAGGGGTTAAGTCTCAGCATTATTAGAGCTATCAGCAGCCACTGCAGCATTGCAAGGAGCTAACCCACAGGGCCCAACAGACCTCTCCTGTCACCTGCTGCTCCCCTCAACAGTGTATCTCAGTAGATACACTCACCTCTTCTGCTCCCCACTCTGTCTCTGGTGAATCCTCTCACCCCACCCTCGCAACTCTGGCCTATACCCCAGTTCTTGTATGCAGAAATACATAAAATAAATCTTAAAAAAATTATAATGCATATAAAAGGATAAGTGAAACAAGTATAGTAAAATGGTCAATAACAAATCTGGAGGATTCGTTACACTCTTTCCTCTATTTTCATGTTTATTTGAAACTCATAAAAAGATAGAAAATTTTAAAAGATATCCACAAAAATAGTTAAGATGTATTTATTCCATGCTAGCCTTTATTTATAACACTGTAATTGCATGTCTACTTGTCCATACCAATATTTCTCAAACTATCAGTATCGAAAGACCAATTTTTTAAATTGTCCAATAAGTCACAGACCATGATTTCTGTAAAATACAGTAAAAATTTACCACAAAAGCAAAATGGGGGGAAAGAACATAGAAAATATAACCTTAAAAAGTATGTCATTGAAGTCATAAATTTCACTTAACAAGCAGAGCAAATGCCAACATTAAAAAAATTAAATAAATGATTGGAACTATATCCATTCATCAAAAGTACCCCCATAGGCAATTGGGGATTGCTGTTACACTTACAGTTTTCTTCTGTAACCATAATTAAGTTTTGGATGTGAGGCATGAGTATGCCCATTTGCATGTTAACTTGACCTTGTGCACTAAGTTGAGTTTGTGTTGGTAGTAGTGTTCCTCTCAGGGAATGATATATGCACCTAAGCTGATTTTATTTGTGGCCATAGGTTTTTGCCTCAGTCAATTCTATTACTGATTTCTCAGCAGATGGTCCAGTTTTCAGAATGCCTACCCTGCAGAAATCATAAAGAATAGAGGAGATAATAGGCTGAAGCACTTGCTGAGATTTTCACTTAAGGAATGAAAAAAACATCTCTTTAAATAGTTGATCTCTTACTGTATGGAACTCAGTTATTCCTCACACTGTGTGTTATGTATTTATTGATATGTTAAGACTGTGACTTTACATATTAATTTAAGGTTCAGCTATACCATGTCTTTGTTTTTTTTTTAATGTATTTATTTATGCATACAAGAGCTGGGGTACAGGCCAGAGGTGTGGGGAGGGTGAGAAGATTCACCAGAGACAGAGTGGGGAACAGAACAGGCAGATTGACCAAAGTATACTGCTGAGGGGAGCAGCGGGGCGAGACAGGAGAGATCTGCTGTGCCATGTGGGTTGCTCCCTGGCTGGCCAGAAGTAGAATTTGTGCTGCAGTGGCTGTAGACAGCTTCATAGGTTGTGTCTGAACCCCTTGCGCCACCAGGGAGGCCCACCAGGTCTTTTTGTTTTTTAGACAGTACCCTTCTTGCTAGTCTTTAACGTTTTTCTGCCCTCTCGGCTGTGGTAATGTTGGTTTGGACTGATTACTTCAAAAATAGTCCATTACTGTAGATTCTGTTTGTGTTTCCCAGAATTTATTTTGCAGGTAACAGTTTGGGTTCTTTTTTCATGTATGTTAACTTGTACTTGTTCACACTGGATCCACTAAGTTTCTTTATATTGCCAGAATCTCAAAAACAAAAAAATTTCCACTGAACCTACCTTGACTCAGCATTTTCAACAGAAAGAACTTTTGTCTATAAAAAGATTGTCATGTTTAATGCTATAGTTTAAGTAGCATTTGGTGTGGAAATCTTAGGAAAGATGTTACTAACTAGCCAGAGCTAATCCCTTACAGAAAACACATTGCAGTCCCTTCAGTCAGTTCGGCTTGCCCAACAGTCCAGCTCATCCTTTCTTAGGGATTTCTCAGCTCGTCTACCAGAGAGGCAAGACCCTGGTTTACTCTCATGAACAGAAAGCACATTGCCCACTTGACAATTCATTTATGCATAACCACTCTGATGATAGTTTCGACATTTGGACTGAAAATAGTACATATTTTTTCTAAAGTGCTCTTTTTTCGAGAACTATGTGGGTTCCGTAAAGGCAAAGGGAAGACATGACCAGATGATTGTCTCGGTTTGTGATAATAGCAGGAGAATACCCAAATTGTCCACTTACACATAAACCTCTAACATATGGAAATAGCACCATACTCCACATTTCTGTACTCCTGTTGGTGGAAAGCTACAGGATTCCCTCCATGTACTAACATTTAAGTGCAGTTCTAGGATATTTTGTGCCAAGTGCTAATTAAGCATTGTAGGGAATACAGAAGAGAATGATATGGTCTCTCTCCTCAGGGAAACTTAAATGAAGTTATCTTTTATTTTTCAAAGCATAATGTGTAGCGTTAGGGCATGTATGTATGTGTCTTCATATCTGCACGCATGTTGGGGTATTAAAGATGCACATGCAAATAAATAAGATGGGAACAATGTGTTATAAAAGGTAAGGAAAAGACATTATTTCTACATGAAGTGATGAGGACTATTTAAAGGCAAATTTGTATTTACATAAGGTTTGAATATAGAGTTAGGATTTCAGGGGGAGTCCAGTAAAGAAGCAGCTTGATACAGTAAAGAAACCTAAAGGTTCTGCTTCAGATCAACCATTCACTTATCAGCCGTACAAATTCAGCCAGTTTACTACTCCCTGTGGTCTTCAGCTTCCTCATCTACAGAATTGCAATTTGAGTCATAGTTACCATGCAGTGTTTTTAGGAAGCCTAAGTGAAATATGGTTTTCTTTGTAAACTATAAAGTGCTATGCAGTGTTAGTAAATTTTATAATTAATATCGCAATGGCATAAGTCAAAGATATGGGATTTTTAAAACCAGTAAACCATATAGCCTAGCCCAGAAAATATGTGAAGATGACTGTGAGAATTGATTCACCCATACCATTCCTTTCATGGGAAAATAATCATAACTAGAAAAGCTTTTCAAGATTTATATTGGATCCCTTTCCTCCTTTAAAAAAATCACTTAAGGAGCCTTTAAGATCTTCAGATGAAACTGGTACAAGTTGTAATATTTTGTTTTACTGAATTCATGTAACTTACACAGCTTGTTTATCTGAAGTACGATTATTGGTAATCGAAAATTTTACACATGTAAACTTACACAGAATTAATTTTCAGGTATGCGGCTTTATTTTTTTTTTTGAAGATTTATATATTTATGCATACAAGAACTGGGTACAGGCCAGAGATATGGGGGTGAGAAGACTCACCAGAGACAGAGTGGGAACAGAACAGGCAGACTGACTGAAATACACTGCTGAGGGGAGCAGCGGGCGAGACAGGAGAGGTCTGCGCGCCATGTGGGTTTCTCCCTGGCTGGCCAGGATCAGATTCGTGCTGCAGAGGCTGTGGATTGCTTCATAGTGCGGTGCTTAACCCCTTGCGCCACCAGGGAGGCCCAGGTATACTGCTTTACAAAGACAGTAAATATATCTTGCAAAGTATAATCTGTTTAGAGAACACGGCTCTCGTGGCAGTGCCTGGTTTAGAGAACAAGTCTGCCTGTTCTAGGGTAACCCAGACCCCACTGTTCAGCAGGACAGGGTGTGAATTATTTAAGCTCCTTCCAGGGACCACCTTATCTCATGTTACCATTGGATTGTGTAACTACAGGAAATGATGCCTTAAAAGAATAACCCACATCCAGTGGGATGTCAGAGAACAGATTCATGTTCTTTGTTTTACATAAATTTATTTAATAATGTGTTCAGGAAAAATATCCAAAGCATTCTTCAACAGCATGCCAGAGAGTGCTCAGGGATTAACGCACTTTGAGTTACATCATGAATGTTATACCACTTGCTGCTGTCCAGCCTGGGCTCCAGTGAAATGTTTGGAATTACTTCTCTGAAGGAAAGCAACTTTCCTTAGAAAACAGCACATTGGGCCTCCCCTGGTGGCGCAGCGATTGAGCGCTGGGCTGCGAAGCTGCCTGCAGCCTCTGCAGCACCGGTTCCATCCCTGGCCGCCGGCAAGGGTCCCACATGGCGCACAGACCTCTCCTGTCATGCCCGCTGCTCCCCTCAGCAGTGTATTTTGTCAGTCTGCCTGTTCTGTTCCCTGCTGTGGCTCTGGTGAATTCTCTCACCCTCCCGCACTTCTGACTGTACCCAGTGCTTGTATAAATAAATAAATAAAATCTTTTAAAAAAATTATAGAAAAAAGAAAACAGCACATTATTTGAACACTAACTCTTAGTCCTTAAAAAAGCTTTTTGAGAGGGAAAAAATCCTGAATATTAATAGTGGGGTTATTTTATTTTGGTGAATGGTTCTCAATTCTTCTTTTACAGACTATCTTGCTAATCATGGCCGGTTAAACGAGTGTGAAGCCAGGCGCAAATTCTGGCAAATCCTGTCAGCTGTTGATTATTGTCATGAGCGGAAGGTCGTGCACCGTGACCTCAAAGCTGAAAATCTCCTGCTGGATAACAACATGAATATCAAAATAGCAGGTAACAGGGGCACAGCTGGCTCTGACAGGAGCAGATGGGAGCCACTGCGCTCAATGGGTATGGAAACAGATCTGCGGGCAGAGACTCAGGTTCACTTCCACCCTGACATCAACTTTCTCCAAATGTATTTCATTTACTTCCTTAGATGTCTGCATAATGAAGAGTAAGGGAGACAAGTTCATTATTAATAGACACAGTGGCAGGATTACGACTGTGATCCAGTTTGTATCCTCAGTATGATTTGTGCAGGTCCTTCTGTGGGCTCTGCTGGAGGAGGTGGGCTATCTGTGATGGGGGTGAAGAACACATAGGTGCTGATGCTGTATGTACCCCGCTGTCCTCATTGTTGCTGGTGGCTGATGGCTGAAGAGAGGCAGGGCAGGAGGGAATGGAAGTAGAATGAGAAATGTTTGGGACACAAAAGCTCATTGCCTTGCTCTATTATAATAGGGTTTTGATTTATAGCATAGAAACTAAGGGTGGAGGTTATTTTGCTAGTTTTCTGCCTGTCATTTGCACAATTATAAAAACTGATTTCTTTTTATCCACGTGGTCAAACTCTAATTCAGTAAATATCTAAGTGTCTGGTATGGAGCTATGCTGAATACTGGGTATACAAATCAAAAACTCTTTTCCTCTTTCTTAGAAGTCTAGTGGGGATATTAGAATGATTAAAATTCACGTGAAGCATGCACATATGGAGATGTGAAAATGGACCCCCAAGTTACATGAATACAAGTTAATACAAGTTAAATGATTGACAAGTTAATAAAAACAAAAATCTTCAAACATAAAGAAACCATGCCCAAATTAATGCTTCTTGTATTGACTTTCAATAAAGACAAGAGCATAAAAAAGAATAATTAAAATGCAACAGAATAGTTACCCAAAAATATATCTACAAAAACGCAATAGAAGTATAGATGAAGGAACATCAGTTTATCTGAGGCATCAGGGATGCTTCACAGAGAAGAAACTGACTTAGACTTGAGAAGTGAGTTAGGAGTTTGCCAGCAAGATGAGCAGCAGGAGGATATTGCAGACAGACAGGCAGGGGCACTGTATATTCACAGGAAGAGATTGAGATTGCAGTGGTGGGAAACTGTAGTTCCGTACTGGTTCACTGCAAAGTCTGGGGGTACAGGGGAGGGACACAGTGGGAGCCAGACAAAGACCAGCATAGGAAGGATTTGAGTAACAGGGAAACAGATGCAGTGGTCCACTTAAGAAAATGGCAGCTGTGGGGGCTGTAGTGTGGAAGGGAGGAAGATTTATTTTGCCTAGGCTTTTAAAGACCCTAAGGGACATGAAGCAAAAACTTAGCAAAGTTGTGAGGAGTGGTGTTTTGTTCTAGGGTTGTCAAAGAGGAAGAGAGAGACATCCAGATGGGAGATGCTTGCCAGGAGATAATTGCAGGGGTGCTAGGTTGGGTGCTCCCTAGACTCACCAAGTTTAGAGGGGAAGCAGCTGCCTTGCTTGCTGCCCTGTGGTATCAAATAAGTTTAAAACCTCAGATTTGTGTATTAATGTTTATTTCTATGTCATTTCTATTCATTTTTGTCTTGGGTATTTTGTGGAAGGTAAATAACTCATTTTTAGTTCCTTTCATTTTAATACCTAATTGTAAATGCCATTGATTCATGTTTCAGGGAGGGAATGAATTTTCCATTCTGTAGCCTGTGACTTTTTTCCCCTAATGGGTATGCCTGTGTGGGACGTAGTACTTTTCACATTAATTTCTTATATCCCCATTGCATATGTACAGATTTGCATTAATAGGTCATCTTTGTTTTGAAAATGCAATCCATGGTAATTGTTTCCATATTTTCTGTCTGCCACTTGTCAGTTTTTTCCCTTAATCTTCTTGTGACCCTTCTTCCATTTGCTCTCATTTATATTGTTCCTGTTTGCCAACTTTCTGCAATGCACTTCAGTGGAATTTTTTTCTTCACTTCTCCTTGAAAACATCAGTTGGAATGCGCTTGATCTTTGAAGTCTTGTAGAAATAAGGAGGTATTCCTGCATCACCTTTACATTCCTTTATCATCAAAACAAAACAGCACCTTAAAGGAGTTCTGGGAGTCATTTTTAGTGGAGAAAAGTTGGAGGTGTGAGTCAGGCTATGGGATCTACAAAGCGCTCTCATTAATATCTCAAGAGCAAATGTCAGAGCAGAACCCCAAAGAAACCTGCAAACAGTACATGCAGAATCATCTTATAAAACTAAAACCAAGTTTGGCCTAAGTATAATGCATCTACTATAATTCCCGACTATACGTAGGTAAACCCAGTGTTTCTAATGTCATTATGTAACATCTAGTTGTTTGTTCTCCTGTCTTTGTTTTTGTTTTTGACTATCTAAACTTCCCTATTTCAAGGTCCTATGCTAAATACTTGTGTCATTAACCGTCACAGCGACCCTAGGAGCTGCTGAACTCACTCAGTTTTTAGATGAAAAAGCTGAAACATGGAGATTAAATAAATAACTTGTTGAAGTGACTGAGATAATAAGTAACAGACCTGGAATTCAAAGCTAGGTCTCTCTGACCACAGTATCTGAAGTGTTTATACTAAAATCTTTGGAAAGGCTATAAGGGTAAAATTGTATGAATTACTTGGAGGAGATTTTCCAGACAATACCATCATTCAAATAAGGCATCACATAGAGAATGTGGAGTTTGATATCAGCCAGTTTGATTTGCTGGCACAAATTCTGGTTTTGCCACTTAGTGTTGTTATAGGACAGGGAGAGGGGCACCCCAGACCCCCACAAACCTGCCTATTCTAAATGGGTTCTGCCATCCGCCGCATCAACACAAAACATATGACACTTTAATGGGAAGGAACTTTAATAAAAACTAGAAAACAATACAGGTAAGGCAAAGAGTCTAGTTTCTAAATGAAGCACCCAAAGTTACCCATCCCCTCGTGGGTAAAACTCCATCCATATGGGGTCGGCCCAGAGCAAGGCCCCAAAGCCTGCCACAAGTCTAAAACATCTTCCAGTGGGGACCCACAGAAAAGGGTCACAAACAACCAGACAAGCCCGGAAGGAAAAGAGCAAAATCAACATCAAGATAAAAGCTGCCATTGTCACCTCCCCACGGGTCTCACCCACATTTGTGTCACCTAGTCCACGACCAAAAGACAAGCACAGTTTCTTCACGTGTCTCTAGGCTCCATGTGCCTCCTCCAGGTCTCCTTGCTCCATCCTGCTTCCTTCCTTAGTCTCTTCTGCAGCTTCTCCTCTTCCTGCTCAGCTCCACCCTTCCTTGGGTGGGGCAGGGAACCTGGAACCTCCCCCTTTCCTGGGGACCACCCTGTTACAGTGTGACCTTGGACTGATTATTTTACCTCACTGAGCCTAAGTTTCCATATCTACTAAACAGAATAATCTATTTCTTCGGACTGTGGAATGGTTAGGGATCATGTTAGAAGTGGGGAGCATAAGAATATGGACTGTGGAGCCGTGCTACCTGGTCTTAAATCCTGGCTCTGTCACTTACCAGCTACATGACCTTGGATTCTTGACCTGACTTCTCAGTCTTCAGTTTCCTGTCCATAAAGAGGGAATGAATGATACATGTTCCTATATCTCACTGGTTACTGCTGTGGTTAATATTTGCAAAGTACTTAGAACAGTGCCTGGTACAAAGTTAGTGCTATTTAAATGTTTGTTAAATAATGTTAAAGTTCCTGACACCATTTTATTTTGTTGAGTGTTTGCTCAATAAAAGGTAGCTACTATTTGTTTTCAATTATAATGAAATTTAATGTGAAAACAAATCCTTGAAATTTTGATAGTCATATAACCCCCCTTTTTTTTTGCCTTACTCATATAAACCTCAGAGGAACAGGAAAGTTTTGTCATTTATATTCTGTATTGTCTCTGCTTGATGCAAATTAATTTTTTTTTTCCTGAGAGGAACACTAAATGTATTTAGTAATGTATGATTAGCCTGATTAACCTGTGTGTGCCCATAAGTCACTTGTCTTTAGCAGGAGAGGCACGCTCCCTGTCTGAGTTCACCTGCCACCTCTGAGTGGCCCATCATCCCTCTTCATTGCTTCTGACAACCTTCCTGCTTATTGGAAGACCTTGAGACAGGATCTCCATGTATAATTGCAGTTTTTTACCCTGGAATGAAGTTTTAAAAAAAAAAAAAAAGTGTGGAAGAAGCTGAGACAGGTTGTTATGTAAACATCCTTACAGAAAGACATCCATTTGTTAACCCCCTGCCTCTAGCACTATGTAAAACATAAAGAGGGCTTTGCATCAGCCAGCACAAGGGTACCCTGTCTTTACCCTTCAAGTCTACTTTGCATTTGCAGTACATTGCACCTGAAAAAGGGCAGACTGCCCCATGGATTGTCTTTGTTTAACCATCTTGATCACCCTCCTCCTCCATTCTGGGCTAAGGAAGCCCACTTAAAAAAAAAAGATTTATTTATTCAAGAACTGGGGTACAGATCAGAAGCACAGGAGGGTGAGAGGATTCACCAGAGACAGAGCAGGGAACAGAACAGGCAGACGGACCAAAAACACTGCTGAGAAGAGCAGTGGGCAAGGCAGGAGAGGTCTGCTGTGCCATGTGGGTTTCTCCCTGGCCAGCGGGGAATCGAACCAGCGCTGCACAGGAGGAAGCCCACTTTTTTGCTTCTTAGCTCACTGAACTCTGTCTTTAGACAAATTGATGCCTCACAATGGTTAGCAGGATCATGTTTCTTCTCGGCCCTGATGATCGTTTTCGTGCCCTTTGACAGGTAGAGAGGGCATGCCTGATGCTTGGACGCGAACTGGGCAGCTGGCCTTTTGCTGGTGGGCAGCAGAGTAGCATTGACGTCAGTGGTGGCTCATTGGTATTCAGTGTGTGCACTGGGTCAGCCTCATCTCTACCCCCTCCTACCTTTCATTTGTCAGCATCATTTTCTCCTCATTGTATTCCTCACCCCTATTATAATAATTACAAAAGATGGGCAACTCTTCATCGCAACTGGAT